TGTGCTCCCCGCACTGGAGCATCTGTTTTTCATGACAGCGAATATTAAGTGACACAAGTGAGGCTTTTTCTACAACGCTAAAGAGGAAGTACGCGCCAAAGATGGATACAATAGAGCTCCAGACTTGTAGCTGGCCCACAAGATCCTCGTGATTTTTGCTTTTAGGGCGACTCACTTGGCCTTTACTCTTGCAGTGCGATGAGTGTTTTGTACAGTTAGTGAGTTTACAGGTTATACTGCCCATCTGAAAGCGTTCGACAAGGCAGCCAAGCTGCAAACGATGAAGGCCTATGAAAGGATGCGATCGCTTCGAGCTCAAGGACTTTCTGAGGAAGAAGCGTGGAATGCAAACGCCGTTGAATTAAATAGAGTGAGTTTAATGCTCATGTAGGAGTAAATGTGCTATACAAGAAGTCGCAGTGTGGCACCAGTCCATTACTAATAAGAAGGCGCCGGTCTGTCAGTCAATGACTAAAAAGTAATGACTTTCAGTAATAGGTTAGTGAGGAGGAATGTCCGTAGTTTTCTATCTCACCATCAGGTCGCCGCCGTGGTGGGCGTGGCTTGCGACGCCGCAGCCCTTGCGTACAAGCTGTAATTTTTCATGGCTCGTTCAAATCTTTGAAGAGGTCCATCCCATTGCTACCCTAAGGAGCATGCTCTGCGAATTCCTTACTCCGAAAACAACGCGTGTGGATACGGAAGTGCGATTCCGACATTCCCTCGCAGCCGGCGCGGGTATGTTAGCAGTGAGGGCACGTTAAGGTTGGGGATTCCTAGCAAGGCGGTCGTGTTAGCCTCTGGAAGAGATGTTTTTTTCTGTTCACTTTCCCTAAGTTTCTCCCGTTTGGGAGACGGACAAGAGAATCGTGATTTGCCGCTGCGCCGCGAGCGGCGATGGGAGCGGCGTTTTCTTAAGTAGTGTTTACCTGTCGATTGGAGCACAGGACTTCATGCAGGCCGACCGCATCTATCGTCAGGCACGCACTCCGAATTGCCGGTAATTGCCATCTACTACATGTAGCATCGCCATCTGCGGGCGACGCCCTCTAGAGCATCGACTTACGATTCTCTTGTCACATACCCCTCCCGTTTCACGTGCATATTTTATTAGCCGCTCGAGTTCATACTCGGCAGTACATCGCTCGTACATTCGATGAAAAAGTGAAATCAGTAGCTGATGGACCGTGTCGTGACACGCTCCGAGATCTCCTTCATCTTCATCTTAACTATGAACTCCTTGACATGGCGTATTACTTGCTAGAGGTATGTATTGTTTACTGTACTGCATACTGTCTTAATTCTATCTGTCCTGGATCACTGTTTGAATGAAAAAGTCATCTAGGATGGCTACCTATCGGGTCAACAAATGGATTTCATGAAGGAGGATATGTATAGGCTTCTGGCGAAGTTACGCCCGACATCGTGTTCGCTGGTGGATTCGTGGGATTTCTCAGATCATCAGATCATGAGCTCAGATCGGTAAGGACACAAGAAGAAACAATCGAGGGAAGGAGCGAATCTGTCATAAATCTTTTCCTATTTGCAGGTATTAGGACGGAGAGACGGTCATGTTTATGAGAATTTGTACAAATGGGCTCAAGAGAGCGAACTCAACCGAACACAGGTCAGAATCTCCTTCGACGCCTCCCAACAGATCTAGTTGAGATGTAAAATGCTGAGTTTGAGTGGTGTCCTGAGCAAAATTTCTTCCATTCCAGGTACTGCCGACGTTCGAAAAATACCTCAAGCCAATGATGAAGGAAGCGCGGGAGCTGAGCAAATTGTGAAGGTCCGATCCGATACGAAGTGCCGATCTGTTCCCAGGTTTAATGCCGTGATCAGTAGCTGTGACGCAGTTTAAGCGAAACCTAATTTTAGTCAGCTTTATGTTCTCATCGAGCGATTTTGATAAATCATCAATCGCTCTCCGGATTTGTTGCCTTTGTCTGTTTTTTGAGTTTTTTCGTCGACAGCGGCATGCCAATAGAGGAATGAACCTTTCCTATTTTATATTTGTATCGATATGCGCTACTTGTACACCAGT